TGGTGGTACACTTTTTTCTATCACATCTTGTCTTTTAGAAGTCAGCTTTAAACACGGCCACAATATAACATCATAATTTCGTAAAAAACCTTTACTTTAAAGTTCTTGCATTTACAATGCACGAGTCAAATTGAGAATGCAGCCTGGAAAAGCTGTACAGTTGGTGGTTGAACAGTGCCCCTCCCTCTTTGCTGAGGCTATAGCTGAACAATTTATCACTGTGGAGCATGTGATAACAATGTGATCACTTGCTGTTCAAAGTCAAGCAATCTAATACAGCAACAACAACAGCAACGCAAACCCCTGAAATGATTTAATTTCTCTCTGAAGCAGTCTGAACAAAGCTTCACAAGTGTAGTATACATAGCAGTACAATCACATTATGTTGTACAGGCATTTTAATTGGTCTAGAAGTTATGATATTGTGAGGGAGCAGGTTTTACAAGTTTTAAGAATTCTAAGATTCTTTAACTGTGAAAAGAGAAGAAACATTACTATATTTTGATGCAGTGCCCCCAGCATGATTTATTCTTCTAATTTGGGATCCTTATTTTCAGTTTCCCGCTGAAACTGTGAGCGACAAAATCCAGATTAGAAAACATGTGGCTCTATATTTTTTGGTATAGATCTTGTGGAGTCATAACTAATTTCTTACACATTCTTGCTAAAAAATCTATACCTGCTGGCTGTGTATTTGCGCTCCAAGTGACTTGTGAATCTTTAATACATCCAGGCAGTGGAAGTTGTTTACTGTAAGTAGTTGGCATTGTAGTTGCTTTATTTGTTCAAATACTTTGAAGCAGGTGTGGATGCAGATTGTCCTGTTTGCCAGGCGTCACTGCATGAATCTCATGAGAAACATTGCTATCCATATATATAGGTGTGGTATTTTCTTGTGCAAGTCTGGTGTTGTTGCTGTGTGTTAGATATTTTTCACATCCTGTGTACCTGTCACCATGGTAGCACATATAAACAAGCACCAAATAGATACAGTAGATAGATATGTGCAGATATTGGTTTCTTCTCTGCATGAACTGCACAGATTCCAATAAATCACATGACATCTGGTGTTTGTGGTAAAGGATCCTACTTTTGCTTCTGCTCATGCAAATTAGTCTCACGTTTTAACGATACAGGATATGATACCCACTGAATTTATTTTTATTTTGAGAGTATTGACAATCTTGCAGCTTTTCAGTTCTTTAAACGCTATCTGATAAGCCTCAATATTAGTTTCTGGACATCTTATGCTATTGTACATAATGCTTTTTAAAATAGCTTTCAGTAGACTTCAACAGAAATTCTCATGCACTAAACTGTTTTTTTCTGGGTGGGGGAGCCGTGTAAACATCGCAAGGCAAAGTTACGGGTACATTCAGTGTCAGGTGTGTGTGTGTCCCATCTCGTGAGACTCTTCCCAGGTGGTGTCTCTCTCTTTCATGTTCAATACAAATGATCACCTGCTCACATCAGAAAAATCCCCAGGTGTTGTGAAACTCTGAAATGTATTTCTTTGTAATGGACATATGGATATTTGAAAGTGATCTACATGTTTACACATATACCCATGCTGCCTAGTTTGCGTTTTTGTTTTCATTTCACTGAGGGAAAGTCATTTCCCTGAGGTTTCTCCTTTAGTCAAGCAAACTCAAGCAAATAGGCTCAGCATCCCATGAGAGACAAACATTACACCACTGTCAGTGCAACGTATAACAGCATTTTGTTTGGGCTAAACCTTTTGAGAAAGAAGTCAGTCAGCGTGGTGGAGAGCGTAGTGAAGTTTTGTCTTGTTATAGCATGATTGATTATTTATTTACAAGACATCTAGCATAGTGTATGTTTGTGTGCGTACCTTTGTCTAACCTTCCTTGTCTTTAAGCGCTATGTCTACTCCGCTTTGCACACTTTGTTTTGAACAAAAATGACTTAGCAGGACCTGGTGGCTAAACACTGTAGATGAATATGCTGCCGGTCTCAAGACTCTTCTGTGCAAGTCATCTGAACAAGTCAGTCGTCTCATGACTCGACGCTTCAATAGTGATGCAAAAGACACTGCACATGTAGGCCATAGATCAAGATTTTACCTACCATACATTTAATTAAAGCATTCATGCGCACCGTCACAGTGTCAGGATGCAATAACTGAATCTTCTGAATGGACAACATGGTAGTTGAATTGAGCGAATGGCTATGTTTTCTTTATATCTTTATGCTATCTCACTATCTGGTTGTTTGAAATATGTTTTTAGCTATGGAAATTGGAAAACAAACAAAATGAAATGACATGTTTTACGTGTATTAAAAGGAACAATATCTCATCTCGTCTCGAAGTATTGTATTCCCTTCGAGGCCATAGGTCCTCTAAAATCAAAATTTCAGTCTGTGGTTCCTTGTTACTGGCTAGAAATTATTTGAACATAACATTTCAAGTGTTACATTAAAAAAGAACATGATAGACTCTGCGACACTGAACCTATATTTTTTCCTGCTCTTTCCCTACAGTGAATTCCCGCAGCTGCAGTTATGTCGGAGTATTTCTGGCTGAGGGAGCGAGCCGTCACTCCTTGAACTTTGACACAGCTCAAAAGGTGTGTGAGCAGCTGGAGAGCAACTTGGCGAGTGCAGAACAAGTCCAGGAGGCCTATGATAACAACATGGAAACGTGCAGGTGAAACCACAAGCCTTTGTTGAACAATTACCGTTATTGATTGCTGTGAGGAAGACTTTTATATTTACTGAAGATTTCTTTTTTTAAATCATTGTAATGCTTGCTGAATAGAAAGTACAGTATTTAAGTTGTAAGACATGAAAGGAATACAGAATATTGACATTTATGGACCCCATTTTCTCAAGATCTTGCCATGAATGTAGCCCTCTCACATCCTTTAACATTTCAACTTTTGGATCGCCTTCAGTTCAATCACAGGGAATACTTTGCTCATTATCAGACATCTGTCACAGTTCAGCTCCACACCCTCCTCACTCTACCTGTCAGCCACTCTCTCCTCATCGGTCTAACTCCCTTCACCTGTTCACTCACCTGCCTCTGATCACTAATCAAGCCACTATAGACTCCTGCCTCTCAAACACACATTGCCAGATTGTTCTCTGCTATTCTATGCCAGACTTTCCAGCGCTTTATCCCGAACTGATTTCCTGTTAACCCTTCCTGCCCCTGATCTGCCCGTCTCGCCTGACTCCCGGTAAAGTCACCAGCCTTTTGTTCCTGACTTGGAATCGTTCTGCCTGCTGTTTCTGCTGCTCTGCCAGAGACTTTTGATGTATCACTCTGTACCTGTTAAGTTTACAATAAAAGCCAACGGTTCCTGGAATCCTGTGTGCTGCAATTGGGTCCGTACACAATCCGTTACATCATTATTAAAACCCACAATTTAACTTAAACTGTAAATGCACTTGGTCTCCGTTATTGCAATTCATCCAGATATTAAAATCAGAAAAGACAATCTAGAGGTCTTCCAGTTCGACAATATGGATACACCATGTTTGTCATGTGGTAGACATGCCGTCAACGTCCAATAAAAGAAACCACCATCTGCTCCCAAAGGTTTTCTCTACTCTGAGCAATGTGAATTACCTTGGTTTTTATTATGATGTAATGTGTTTAGACCTGGTATTCTCTATCAACAAATGTCTCAATCTGTCACAAATTGTGTGAAATATGTTTTCTAATAACAATACTGTTGTGTCCATTCAGAAACGGTTGGATCAGCAATATGAGCATTGCCATACTCAGACACTCGCACCATGAAAACTGTGCAAAGAACATGACAGGCTTCATTATTTATTCACGTGAAAAGCCTGAAGAACTCTTTGATGCCTTGTGCTATGATGATGAAGGTGACTATGTCCACAGGAAATAGTTACACTTTATCAGTGCAGTCCACAATTGAACTGATACTCAAATGTACAGTCTGCATGGCGTAGACTTGCTGTTATTTGCCTTCGATACTTTTGGTAAAGTCTACTTCCTGTTCCCCATGTACCAGCTGGGCCCAAGATGAACTGCACGAAAGCTTTTTTAGAAAAGGAAATCTTACCCTCAGATGCACCAGGTTAGTACAATACACCCATTCACACTCAACTTACTGTAATACTTATAGTGCCCATTTGTCACCATTTATCAAAAGTTTAAGCACTGATATACGGTAAAGTGAAAGCAAAAATGATAGATTGAAGGCAGTGTAACTTGTTTATCATTAGACCAACTGAAATAATGTACAGGATGTCAACATCTAAAAACATGAAAATGATATCATATTTGGCATCTGCCATGGAACTGACCGGAAACAAAATTTAGAAATTCAAACTTCTATTGCAGAAAGCACAAACCCTCCGCAGTTGAACAACTTCAAACAAAGAAAACCAAAAAAAAAACCCATCTTAAACAACATCTCGGTCTAGTTACCAAGTTATCTCGTCTTTTTAGTCAACACCATCATCCTCTCAGCTTCAAGCAGTGTTACTTGAGGTGGGATTTACAGTCAACCTAAATCAGCTCTGGATAAACGAAAAGACAGCTGTGTGACGTTACTTATTATGAACCATAGACCATACATTAGCTGTGGTTGCATTTTACGTGGCCTCATTGCAGGTTTTGAAGTTGTGTATTGTCCTACAGAGAAATATCGGAATTACATATAGTGATTTGTGAATGCATAATAAAAACATTGGTCCTGATATGTTAAATACATAGTATACATGGATGTGACAATATTTATGGTGATACAGTGCACTGAAATATAGACCGTCAACAATGTAACAGTGGCCTTGGAAGACTCCAACCGAGCCCTGTCAGTTTACATGACTTTTAAGAAGCATGACAAAATCAAAACTATAATTTTTTATGTTTAAAAATATTGATCATGGGGTAAAGCGCAGCAAGAAAGACGACACTAAGTGTGGGCTGTAGATTTAAATAGGACCTGCAGCATGCAATGTCTTTAATGGCTCTCTCTGATTGGTCTGATGAGAATTTGTTCAATTATTTGGCTTCACCAATAATACATGCTATAACACTTTAAGGGGTTATCTGAGTATAAGACAGTGATAAACTCAGCACGCACTTTCGTATGCATGTGGTTTGCATTGTAATAAATTATTATAAAATTACTGTGGCATTATAACATTCATTGAAAAATAAAAACAAGTTTAAATCCTACGAGAGAACGTTATCAGGCTTTACAACACTGTAATTAATATTCAGATAGACACCGCCATATTGCTAAGAAATGGTTAATGTTGTTCTAACATAAGTAATGTATGATTAAAACTTTACATGACCCTGTTTATTCTCCAATCAGCTGAATCCCCACCACCTTGGTCCCCAACATCAGCAGAGGGCCAGGAAGAGACCATTCCAAAAACCCGACCCGAGGATGCTTCTGGTAGTGAGGGCGGTGAGCCGACAGTAGCCGCTGGGGAAAATGCTCTTGGGGATGTGATCAAAATTACCCCATCAGCCACCGCTACTCTCACCAGTGTGGGGTCCACTTTCATCCCAAGCGAGTTTGACAATCCCGCTGGATCTGGGGTGAGTCCAACCCTCCCTGAGGAGGAGGAAGCCTCTCCAATGGAACCTGTTGGAGAACCAGAGAAAACACAACCTCCTATTGAAAATGAGCAACAGCCTGATGGAGAGGATGCCATAACAGAGCGTAAGAAAAAACACAAGCAAAACCAACACATAACTGCTACAAATCTAAGCATGTTGAGTTGGGTTCAACAAAGTATTGGGTGAATACAACACTTGAAAATGTAATGCGTTCTTGTATAATAGCCATGCACAAAAAGCTCCTGGTGCTTGTAATGTTCAGTTTTAGTGGAGACTCTATTTGAGAAAATTAGTGCTGTTTTAACTCTCTAGTAATACTTGGTTTACATTATACTGTTTCCGACCTCTGCAAATTCAAAATTGTTATCTTAGAAAATGCAGATTTATAATGCACGGAAGCATTTCTAAAGAACAGCACTTCCTGGTATCAGATGTAACAGGTTTTGGGTGGACTGGAGTAACTTTAGGAACACATGACGCCCCCTTGTGTTAGGTTGAGCTGTGGAGTGGATTCATGACAAGGCCTCAGTGATTCTGCTTCTGTATGTCCCTAGGATGAATTACAAACGGGCACAGCGTATTTAACAAACGCATCAAATGCTTAAAAGTATTTAATAATGGCATTAATTTATATATAAATACATATATGTATCAAATTAGTTGGATTTTCAGACAAATATCAGGAATAGAAATAACAGTTTTATCCAGATCATTTAAAGGGAAATCAACTTAATATGTAGCTTGCATGGTGCCACAAAACCTGCAGCCTCACAAAGGGATGAATATGCATTTTCAATTGAAGGCAATATAAAGTAAAAGACATTCTCTGTCATACAGCCACGAATACATTTCAATATTCCATCTAGTTTTGTGTTTAGGTTCTTCTGAGTTCAATTTGTCAGTCAATGAGCTATATGTGAGATGATTTTAACGTTTACCTTTTGTTTTGTTGACATGCAGCTCCACAACAACGACCTAATGGCAAAGGACGGGTCCTGGGTCCTGCTGAGACTGATCACTCGGAGAGCAGCAATTCATCGAGTGAGCAGCCATATTACTTTACATACATTTCTATCACCATGAAGCCCATAGTGATGCAGTCAAATAAGATCATGTTGGGAAAAGTGCACTCATATTTGAATCCAATCTTTATTTCTTACTGACCGCTTTAATATTGTTGACTCATGGCTTGTTATTTCTCCTTCCAGACTGGCTGGTTATCATTGGAGTGATTGTAGCCGTTGCTGCTATTCTTCTTGTGTGCGCAATTGTTGCCAAGAGAAAGAGGTATGATTTTGATTGCTATTCTTTTTTTTTTTGCTCTTGCACTAATAGAGCTGTCATATTACGTGTTTTGGACAGACACATTGCCCCCCCTGTTTGCCTTTCTGTGCACAGTAGTCAATAGTCACTTTTGAAATTATCACATTATTTGCTGCAGACTGGGGGATGGCAAAAAAATATAGAAAAATCAATAATATATAATAAATAAGTGTGTCTCAATGTACTCTTGCAGCTGGTGCGGCAAACAGCAGACCCTGATGATCACATCGAAAGACGGTGGCGAGGGAAACGGGGCTGCAGCATCAGCATCCAGCCCCCACGCCCAGGAGAGAGAGCAGGAAATGGTGACCCTCATGAACAAGGAGAAGATCCAGGAGAACGGCAACACAGAGGAGTTCACCGTCATCACACTAGAGGAGTCGCCAGATAAAGAACAGCTGGCGTGAGAGAATAGATAGGCAGGGTTAGAGTGAGGAGATTGTTAGATTGGACGGGTTGGGGCTCCAAACACGGGTTGGGGGGGGGGGGGACCGCGACTGCTCTAGTGGCCAGCATTGGATGGACACTGAGCAAGGGTATATGTGTGTGTTATTTAGAAAGATTGTCTAACTGAGGTACAATATTGTACTGGGTCTGCAGGGTCTTTCAAACCAACATGTGCATCATTTTGTTTGTCTGGTATGCCAGGTTAGCTAGGACTGCATGGCAGTCAAAGAGCATCATGGTGGGGAATCATGCATTGATGCAGCAGGGTGTGTGAATGTGTATCGTGTCACTTCTGTGTGTTTGTGAGTTGTATGCTTTGTTAATGATGGCGCTGGATAGACATGGGTTTTAAAGGGAGGGGTGATGAGGGTCTGATTTTTTTTTTTATATAGTTGGTGGATCCCAAATTGTAGGGCCTTTCGTTCTAAATGAGAAATGATGAGTCAATGATGACAACCGTTATATTTGAGATACTGCGGATTGAAAAAAAAAATAAATCATGATTTCGAGCAAAACAACCTTTGATGTTTTACATGTGTTTCATCTCTTTTTTTTTTTCTTTTTTTTTTGCTTATTGTTGTAACTTTGTGTATATTTCAGACATTGCCTGTGGACTGGAGATTTTTTTCCATTTTTAAGACAATTGGGGATGTCACTACCTTAACGTATGCAGCTTTGATTCCCTTTTTCTTGGTCTCTGTATATAACGTATGTGTTTTGGAAATGCCTTAGCAATAGCTGCCAGTGCTTTTTGTTGTTTGCTAGAAAGGGGCTTTGTATCCCCTTTAAATAAAGAGGTTTTTTAGGGTTATTTAATTAGAAGACAGTATCTCCGAAGTACACATTTGTGACTGAATTTTGCAATAGTCAGAGTGGAGTGGATATTGTATGAATCAACTTGATGTATAGCATCTAAAACTGTGCAATTGATGCACCACTGAAGTCAGTTATTATGGTATACATTTATATTGGATTGGGAATAACGATGAATTCCCGAATGTTATACTGTAGGTAGCATAATAAAAAAATATGTATGCATACTATATACACAGTGTGTACATTGATTAAGGTAAAAGAAAGAATAGGATAAATTCATCATAATTTGAGTGCAAAATGTATTCTCATTTGTGTCAAGTGAGTGACAGCGGCCTAGCTTTAGATGATAAACTACATGGCACCTATGATAATGGGGAGCATAGCACATAACAATGTTAAGGTTTCTTCATACGAATGGGGCTGTGACAATGTTGTCCACGTGCTCCCGGGGGGGGAGGGGTGTGATGAATGAAGCTTGTGTGCTTGCCCAAGCCCCAATGTGCCCGGCTTTTTACATTTCACACATGTAAACAAAATGCTGCCGTTTTTTACTGATCGTCTCATTGGTGAAATATATCATACATTGTGTCATATCAATATTGTTCTGTGTGACAGCTCATTCTTTCTGGTTCAGTATGAAAATGCAGAATTACATACAGCGATTGCAAACAGATTTTTGTTTTGTTTCTGACTTCTTCTGTTTTTCCCCCTGCTTTTGCTCTCATGATTCCTTTTGAGGAGAAGTAGCAAATGTACTAGAGTAGGCAGGTTTTATGACAAATTAACAAAAGATGTTGCTGAAAAGATTTGTAATGTCATGGACGAAAATAAATGTGCATAGAAAGAGATGTGCAGGAGTGTGGTGTGTTTTCACTCACTAATTATTCTGTATGTGTGAAAACAAAAGGGAGCAAGTGAATGACATGACAGTGGGATGTGAGTATTTACATTTCCTCACATAAGAAGTGTGGTTTCCATGGCACCAGGGTCATGTTGTGAGAATATGTTAATTCAGGAAGCAAAGATTTAGATGAAGACGACCATTTTGAAAGATAAAGATGCCATTTTTTTCATCCAAGTGTTAAACAGAGTTAAACAAGTCACAAGTCATAATATACTTTGACTTTTTCATGGCATACTATATCATAGGCCTGGGTATCGGTACTCAATGCCTTTAAAGTATCGTCCGAATAATCCAGTACCAAGTAGTATCAAAACGTCTCTCGTCAAACGAAACCTGCTATCCATCCATTTTGTTCCTAGATCTAAAAAAAATGACTACTGTAACAATCATCCATGGAAAGATGATAAAAACTGAAATGTGGTAAACAACATGATGAAACGTGAAGAAGACGACCAGGTGCAAAGAAACCAGAGGAAGCCGAACCAACTGCCACGGAGCAGAGGAATGCGATCCAACAAACTATCATCCAACAAGATGCAGAGATGCAGAGATGCCCACAGAGGAACAGCTGCCACTTCGTACAGCTTTACCTCCCATCTGCCGATCAGAACCGTCCAGGGAAACAATACAATTTCCAGATGTAGCTGAGTCTGATGTTTCTAGGCAAAATACATTTAAGTCAGGTAATAAAATAATCTGAGATAAAAATATCTTAGAACTAAAGATATACATTTAATTTAAATTAAAACTAATATAAAGACTCTTACCTGGTGCATCTAAAACACTCAACTGCTGAAACGTGCAAAATTCCTTTTAGCTAAATTTAATGCAAAAACATCAATCGATGGATTTAATTGACACCACTCAATGATATGAGTCCCTGATTTTACCTGGTCACATGTAATATTTTTGATTTATTTGTGGTCCATTGTTATTCATTGTACTCTTCTTCATATTCTTTATTAATTTCATTAATTTTGTCTATTTTATCGTTTACTCATTTATTTTTGAAGTAGTTTAGTTATGTAGTTAGTCCAACAAATATTTAATTAATAAAGAACTTTAAAAAGTGGTATAGCATGTCAAAAAAAGTCATAGTATTGTGTTTTTTAGGGATTAACCTTATGATGACGTTGCTATCTCAGGTGGTGATAGAAACCTTATGGATCTGTGCATCAGGTGGTTTGTGGTATGAATGACAGCATATTTAAAATGTTCAGCTCCTGTTTTTCTTTGGCATCATTCAAATTTTCAAAAATTACTAATTTCTTCAGTGGTTGTCGGGATAAAGCATAAATGACAAGGCAGACTGGACATGGTTAATAATAGCCAATAAGAAGATGATTGTTAATCTATTTAGCCCTACTTTAGTCATCTAAATTATTATAGCTTATATTTGCCTGTGATTCAATATGACACATTAATGCTTTTCATTTAATAATGTTTTTAGAATATTACATCAGTAAAAGCTACATGGGCTTGACTGTCTGAGTGTCGTTTTGACACCAACTGAATGACAGAAACAGACATGAAAATTGTATATTTGTGTGTGTGTGACAGTTATGTGACATGATGTAAAAAAAATAATCACACAACCAAAATACCAACATTTAGTTATGAATCAACATTTATTAGTTATATTTGTATATGTACACCAAAGGTACAACACTTATTGATATGTAGAAACAGTAGGAAAGAATATTTTTGTCTTTTTTTTGTCTCAGTTGTGTAACTCCCCCACACATATGCTCTGCCTTTACATCAAAATTACAACAGCTTTACAAAGAGGAAAGGTCTAGAAAAGTAAGATCAGGAAAGCAAGTTGTTGGCAGGAGTATGACAGGTTTTCAGCTCTGTTTAGGAGTTTCTTCAAAAAGACGCATTTCAGTAGAAAAGGACAAGTTTGAAGATATACTAGCTCTTTGTTTGAAATACTGTATCAATCAAATCCCATTTCATCCAGTGCTATTTAACTCAGCTCCAGTTCCAGGTGTTTGTTAGTGCATATAGTTTCTGTGTAGAAAGCAACAAAAAGGCAAGTGGAGTAAAGGCAGTTTACCAAGTGGGATTTCTATAAACCTCCATAACGTTGATGGCATAATGTTTGTGAAGATGGGGCGTTTAGACAAGGTGCAATCTAGATATATCCTTGTCTTGCAGCTTTAAATGCACATGCACCAGGTAAACAAAGATGTCTGAGACTAAAGCCAGTTTTCTTCATTCAAAAGACAAAATGGTTCAGATGAGTCACCTGAGGAATGTTGCTCTATACTGTAACAGGCATCTGAATGCATCAAATGTTGTTTGTTCTTTCACTTAAATCAACAACTAGGCTGTGTTTTTTGTCCTCACTGTATCCTACATACAGGGCAAATGTGACCTTTTTCTTTATTTGTCTCTCTTTTCAGCAACCTTTATTACAGCAATTCCCACCGAAATATATCTCATGTTGGCCCCCTTTTTTCAAACCAAAAAACTTCCCCTCGCTCTCTTTCTGTCCCTCTCTTTCTCACTCTGTTTCTTTCTCAAACAGCAATTTGCTTCAGGATCACTGTAATTTCCAGAAAAGTCTGCTTCGCCACTGAACAGAACAATTATATATTTATTTATGTACAATGAAAATGAATGCACACTGCTTATATCTTCATGAACAAACATTCAAAACTCTTACATTAGATTAAAAAAAAAAAGATATTTATATATTGGTGTGTGGCAGGTAAGTAAAACATCTAGTTACAGCTATTAGAGAACAGAAAAACAAGCAATTTATTACACGATTTCCTCTCTATACATTTTGTCTAATATAGTTTTACTCAGGACATAGATGATATATATTTTTTTAAAGGATTACATTAAAATGTCACAGCAATGAAACTATGTTCCTATATACCATTTCAACGCCTCCCCAAAAGAAAACAAAAGGAACAAAACAAACAAAAAACATCTGTTACCTACAATATATACACAAAGTGCAAGGAGGCACTTCAAAATATCATGCTTTTAAGATAGTGGTGCAAAAAATAATTATCATTTTATTTTATTCATGCTTCTAAAACAGTGAGTTTGAACATAATAGTGGTCCAACACTCAATCCCCATCGATGACACTATGGTCTGTGTTGTCTCCTTACTGGAGAGATTTTGTTTTCTTTTCCTGAAGATCACAAGATTGAAAGATCAGACTCAGAGGGCCTGATAGGGTGTCAGTTCTGTGCTCAGCAGCTTACAACTAGAAATGTAGTGACCTTCCAGGTTTAAGAGTGTTTGCAAGTGTGTTTATATGTGTGCATTTAAAAATGGTGAATGTGTGTGTGTGTCTGTTTGTGCATACTTGTTTTTGTGTGTATGGTGTGCGTAAGTCTGTGCAGTGTGTACGGCAGAACACCTTTGTTGTATCGAAGCACACTTGTTAGCCGAGCTTCAAAAAAAGCAAAGTTGAAAGACATCTTCTGAGAGTGTGTTTCAGGAACTAAAGGACATAGTGCTGTGCTAAGTGTTTTGTTAAGTTTGTTTTAGTGTTACTCCTATTGGCATTCGTTGTTGGGATTTGTTTGAAGCGAACATCTTCAAGGCAAGGTTGTCATTAAGCACAAATAAAAAGAAACAAGACAGGAGAAAAGGACATAATACTGATAAAGAAATCTAAACCACAGCCACATCGCAGAAATCTCACCTCTCACTCACGCAGGCTAAAAAAGATTAACAGCCAGTAGTCCAGCTTTTGTTTTTTTGTGTTTGCAAGTCTTTTTAAGCCATTTGGTCTATGAGAGGAATATATTACCTGATAGTTGTGGCAACATTCTGGCATAATGCATGTGAAGTGTCCATTGTCCAAAAAACATCTTCGAACCCATATGGACACACAGCTGCAGCATCTAAGGGTTTGTAGAAACAGTCTTGAGCTCTGGTGGCTAAAATATATTGTTGTTTACCTTTTTTTAGGACCGTCTAAACAAGAAGCTGGCAAGCCTCCCGGAAAGTGTTATATCAGTCTCTGTTTGTGCAAGCCATGAATCCATCTGTCAGCCAAACCTTGCACTACTTCTTCCTTTCTTTTTGTTTTTTTAATGTTCTGGTGGTTCACCTTGTGTTCTCCTACAATAATAACCGTGTCTGTGCTTTCAGAGAGTATGCAGGTTGAGGATCATTCAATCGCTGGAATGTTGTCTGAAATACGCGTGTGTGCTTCCTGTATGTGCTAGGAGACGCTCCATCCCAGCATATTATCACAAAGACATTTGCAGTAAATTGTCACCATTTTTAAGGTCAATGCTTGGAAAAGTTGTGCCGCTAAGAGGCCATTTTTTCAAGCTCTACAATGAGAAAGTAAACATTTTAGTTTTTTTGTTGTCCCTGTAAAAGAATAAACATACAAGCCTGAGGATCTTCCGCTGTCCTTTATTGTGTTTTTAAAATCTAAAATTTAAACTTGGAATACAATCAGTGTTGACATAAAACGATAATGTGCATGACTTTGACTAAGCCACTGACTGAAAACAATCCTCATTGGCTTTATTTGTGCTCTATCATTCTGTTTGTGCTGTTTATTATCTCTTTCTGTGCTACAAGTTATTCAGATATGTCAATTATTTATTATTTGTTTGTTTTTACAACAATCCCTTTGGCGACTAATCTTCTTTTAATTTCATTGGCATCACAAATAATTTTTTTTTGGGGGGGGGGGGGGGGGGGG